TCCTGCTCTTCTATATCCAAGTTGAACTCCTGCCGCTCCAGTTTCTCAATGTCTGGCATCTGTTCATTCTCGTGCATCATTTTCTGGATCTTTTTTTAAAAAAAACAAATAAGTATAAGAAACAAAAATGAATATGAATGTGAGCAGAAGAAATGTTATGTCTAACACTGTAAATCTTGATAGCAGAGCAAATTATTTTAGTTGCCTTCATTTTTAACTGCTTCGTGGTACAGGATGCTGATAGACAGACCGAAACTAGCCTGCTGAGAGGACAGACTATTCAAGGCATACGAATGGTGTGAAACATTGCTTTTGGAGCAAGGGAAAGTGAGTACTAGAAAATAGTTTCTGACACAGTCAAGACAGTACCGTCTCTGAAGGAGTTTATCTCTTTATGCCTGCTCAGAGCCTGTGACAAAAATCTAACAGAGCCCTTGGGCTAGCAACTATGAAAGAAGTGTTCTTGTAAATAAAATTGTCAAGCTCAGCCCTTATCCCTGTAAGAAACTCACATTTGTACGCAGCTTTTTAATTCCTATTTTCAGCTCTTTCTTCTGGTTAGCAAACTTCTGAGTTTCTTCTCTCATGACCTGACATACAACAAATACATTGTTGAAGGATAAACTTACACAAGAGGAATAAAAAAAAAAAAAAAAAAAGGACTGAAATAATATAAAGGAATATTATTGGTAAAGAAAACAACCTCCAAAAGTATTTCCAGCTGGACAAAATACTGGCTAAACTCTGGCTAATATCAGAAAAAATCTGCTACAATCCTGTAACTCATATTTCTGAATAAATCTATACTGACAATGACATAACCATTTCTAGGCACACAAATTACAATATTCCCTTTATAAATTCATATTCTTGATCCACTTTTACTTTTAAAAATCATTGGTTACATAACAGACATACTTCACCCTTACCCTGAAATAAACAACAGAGTTTTCATAATTAATGTCATACTGATGAATACTGATTTAATAGTGGTGTAAATTTTGTATTCCAGCTCATGGGAGTAAGAGCGTTTGCTTGATTTCTGCCGACGATCTTCTGTGCAACTTTCTGACATACTTGAAAGAAAAAGGCCTTATGAGTTTCCATGGGAGGCCAATTTGTCAGCCAAGTAATAGAATTGCCTGACCACAGAAGTGGTCTTTTAGCTCCCACTGTGCTGGGTGCCGGCCAAAAGTGTTTATAGTCCTGAGATAGCATCTATAAGAGCTGGGATCACAATACCTTAAAAGAGGCCCAAAGGACAGAAAAAAATCAAAAAAATAGATTCATTTACAACATATAATTTGAAACCCCATATCACAACAGACTCTTGAAAATGTTGCCTTGATTAATGTTTGTGATATGAAAGTACCTTCTTCATTTTTTGATCTATCCAAGTCATTTCACTAGTAATGGCTGAATTCAGTTTGGTAATGCTTCTGTCTTCTTCTGTCAGTTCTACATTGGAAGATTCAGGTGCCTCCTGAAATGAAGGAAATAACATCCGTGACAAGTATTTAGTGAGAATTAGAGAGAGACAGAAATAATATATAAAGTCACAAATGGATGAGATCACATCTGAAATAACAAGAAACACAGTTCAAAACACACAAAAAAAGACAAATTGAAGAAGTGAATGTCATCTTCCCATAAAGTATTTCATTTCCTTTGTAATACTGTTAGACAAATCAACAATTAAGCACAATCAACCTATTCTCAAGGGTTTTTTTCCATTTTTATTAAAAGGAGCAGATTTTGCCTTGGGAATTGGCATTATCATCTATAATTTTACAGTAATAATCAACCTTCTTTTACAAAAACAAATGAACAAAAAAAACCACCTCACCTCAAATTTCTCTTCTGGGAATGATTCTGATGTGGATTCTGGTTCAAACTTCCATTCTGGCATAGATTTTAAAACAGCATTTTCATTGGAAGTGGACTGGTTCAATATGGCAAGAAGAGATCGCCAGTGAAAAGCAGCTTCCTTTTTTTCAATTTTCTTTATCCTCCTAGTAAAAAATAAAAAAGGAACTGATGTATTTTCTGTATGTTAAGGAAAAGAATGAGGTATTAAATATTCTTTGTAACAGAAGCCCTTTAAAAATATTTATTCAATATTTCTACATATGATTCAATATTGTTGAATGTTAGAATTGGATAAAACACATGAGTTCCACAGAATTACAGATTTTGAAAGAATCCGGGTGACATACACTGCATCTTTAATCTCTGCATCTAACAAAATATTTATTATACAACAGAAAAGCTATAGTTTCAGGTGTTTCTTGCTCTCAGTGTCTGCTTAGAGCTCTTTATAGCTGAGGTTGACCCCGCCATGAAAAAAACGTTGTCTTCTAGTAGCTGAGTCAAGACAGGCTCTCCTGGTGTTAAGTCCATAATCATATAGATACAGAGAGTCCTTCCCAGATGGTTTATTTGAGAGTGATAAGAATCACATTATAGCTAATACTGGAAGATAGTCCTATATTTTGCAGTGCAACCACAACCCAAGTAGAAGAAATTCACATATTTCTCAGTGTTTCAAATGAGAAGTTTTTCATGAACTAGAAATACCACCTCTACAGATAAGAGAACAGATCTTAGCATGCAATTCCATCCATTTCTCATTCTTAAAATATTTGAGATTAATAAAAAGGAGGTCTACAATCACAAGTCAATACAGAAATCAGCCAATCATGATACCAGAATGTACACCATCAATACTGCTCTAACACTTTATACATACTTCCATTTCAGACACACCAGGGCACCATCATTTACACCATTAACAAGCATGAATCGGCCATCCAGTGAAAATACCACAGATCTGATTCCCCCTCCTTGATATGAGTGGCAATGCTTTTGAGCAATTACATCCTGAAAAAAGTCACAGAAACAATATCAGCAAATATGTTTTTCTAATGGAATATGTTTTAAACTATGCTCCTTTGTTTCTAGATACAGGTTTATTCAAAATGTCACTAAGAAGTATATAAAAGACTATAATTCATAATTTTGACTACAGATCAGTAAGTTTCTAGTATATTGATTTTGCAGGAGACAAAGAGGAATGGCAAAAATATTTCCCATAAGATTTACTGGAAAAGAAAGTAAGTGGTATGTGTGATCACATAACATCCAGTATAAAAACAATCATATTGTATAAACCTGTGGTAGCTGGCATTCAACATAATTTTTTCTGGAACACCTTAGTTTTAAATGAAGAAAAGCTTACAGTGGAAGAAAGTAACTGCTACAGTTCTTTCCAGTGAAAGCCAAATGAAGCCCATGCCTAGATGCCTACTTACCATAGTAAAAGTATGATAGATGAACAAAATCCCATCCTCTGCTGCTGATGCAAGCCACCGACTGTTGGGTGATAAACAGAGGAACCCTGGTCCAAACTGTTTGCTAGGAGTCCTCTTCTCTGATAAAAAAACTGAGAGGTCTTTCAACATATGCTGTCAACAAACAAAATGCTAGTCAGCAGTTGAGATAAAGGAAATATCTATGCCATTTTACAAAGACTAATGATAGATTGGTGTATTGTTTATTGCATGCAAAGCAATTTAAAATGTTGGATGTTTAACCAGGGGAGCCAGTACCATTGATAGGCTGCTGATTCCTTTCTTGCCTTTTCAAAAGAGTTTACAGTCAATACGTTTGGAGCTGTTGTTTTGTAGACTTACCTCTTCAGAGAGATGGTATTTACAGATGAAAGGTGCAATACCACAGTAGCCATATACAACATTATCCTTCAATTTGACTGCTGAGCTCAAAGGATAATCCAGATCATACTGCTCCATTTTAATGGCACTAGGCTGAAGCATTCCTTGTTCATTAACATACTTTTCATTATCTAGAATTTTGAAAGGAGAAACCAGGAGAAGGAGACACAAACAATCTCAGCGAGGAATGTGTGTAGTCTAGGTTTCACAGAGATTCATGTCATCATCATTTTCATCTAGAACTAGTTCTGGAATCTCTGCCAATAGTTATGCCATCCCTGAGAGGTCTTGGATAAAATACTTACAATCACATCTTCAAAAAACATTTTTCTCTTTGACTAATTAATCTGAATTTTCAAGAGACACCTGGAATTAACACTGACGTAAAAAGTAGTCAGCAAACAAAAAGAACCCCATATTAATGCATTCCTAGAATACTTCTAGGTTCTGAGATCAGTCATGGCATTCTGGGTCATTCTTTTCTTGCTTAGAGTATTTCTGTAAAAGAGGACTTACTTTAAAATGCTGTAATTTTACAGCTTAGTACTGAATGGCAGAAACAAATTACTGAGTTGTTACAGAGTTGAGGATGGCATAAAACAAAGGATGAATAATATTTTGACAAGTTAGTATAGGTTACATAGTTTAGTGAGTGACTGACAGGTCCCCATCATTTTTCTTCCAGATCACAGTGGCACTTCAGCTATGTTGTCTCAATAGGCACGCGGCACACCGCAGATCCATTTGTCTAATGAAAATCTGGACTAGTGTAAGTAGGCCACTATTAATTCTCACTAATTATCATCTGCTGCTCATACAACAGACTGTTTCTTTGTAGCATTCCTCATTGGGATACAAGTTAATACTTTTTAATATCATGACCATTTCCTTTGGTGTTTTTATCTGGGGAACCTGTAATGAAGACAGGGAACCATTTTTTGAGATATATTAACCTCTAACCTTTTTCTAATGAGCTATCATTTACCTATAATAATTCTCTGAAGAGTCTAGTGGAATTGATTCTACTTTGAACACCTGATATGCTATTCTGTATGTGGGTGATGCCAAGCATGAAGTGGTGGCTTTGTGATTCTCCCGGGAAATTAATTCTCTCTTGCCTTTTCATCAATTAATCAGCATGCAATTGTCCTGCTGAAATGAATCAGCCGACAAAGGTAAGTCTACAGACGGCCACACAAGAAGTTGTATGACCCTGGAGAATGAATGGATGAGGTGAAGATAGAGATTAAGATCATAAGTATTTTGTGTAGGGGGAGGCAATAATATGTATTTGTCTTAGAAAAATATCACAATGAATATTATTTCACTTTTACCTGTTGTGAGAGCTGAAGATAGACAAAAAATCTCCAGTCTTGCTCGCTGAACCTCTGCTACTTTAAGGAGTACCACCACTTCAACCAAGTCATGCCTGAAGTCAGAAACCACAGAAAGTCCAAGGACTTCATCTGCCAACACTGAAGCAGGTTGGGAAAAATAATAAAAACCGTTACTGAATCAAATTATCATTGTTCTTGCTAAGTCATCATGTGAAACAAAACAGGGCCCTTTGTTCCGAATGCAATCATATTGCTCTGCGTTTGCATTAAAAGGTCAGACAAGCCACAGCCTGGTTTCAGAAGTGCTGAATATATACAGTTTCAGCTGGAGACAACAGAAGCTGAGAATACTGAGCACCTCCAGGGTTTTTACTGTATTTAACATTTGAATCTGAATTTAGATCCAGATTCAGTTTTAGCAGGCAATTCTTGAGGGAGACTTTTCATAGTCCCAGGACTAAGCAAGAAAGGCCCTCTTCAAAGCAAGCCAGCCGCTGAGAGAGAAATCAGGCAATTCAGAAAATTATCTGAGGAGATGTAATTCTATGTTTTTCTTCACATATAAACACTTCAAATATTATCTTGGAAGTCAAACTAAATTAAAATGATTAAATAATGTCTATATGTATAGCTACAGTCTACAAATATAAAGCTAATGGAATTGAGGTATTGCACAAACATTTATAAATGTCAGAAGAATCTTGTTTGTGAGTTAAAATTCCATCATTTTTTATTCTTTGGCGTCAGTCAGCAAAGCTGACAATTCTAGCAGCTCCTGTGTGTTAAAGAGACATGGATTGGACATCTGTGACAGAAATCTGCAATCAGATATCACAACCTAAATGTTATTAGTCTGAATTCTCATGTGGTATGGTCCCAGAGATCTTGAGTCCTTTGACAGTACCATTCCTGAGTTGTTACTCTGAAGTTGTGATCGCTTGGTCAACTGATCCTGTCTCCTCCTCGTGAACTGCACTCTGTCAGATAAGTCATTTCAGAGTATTTGCTAATTGAAATTACAAGGAAAAGAAAAAAGTTTGGCCAGAACAAAATTTCTTTGGGAGTCAAAAGAGAAGAATCATCTTATGCTCTCTTCTCCATAAATAAATAGAAAAAAGGAAAGTGGCTGAGTCTGAGCAGCGAGTATAATTAAATTACAGCAAACAGTGAAAATACATGATTAATGTTGTTATACATATTACCTATATATCCAAGAACCTGGAATAAAGTTGAAGGTCGGGCATCTAGAATAAATATATGTCCTTGTGTAGCTCTGGAGATGAGGAATTGACCAGTCTGATCATAACTAGGTAAAACACAAATCCAAAACAAATAAAGATTTTGAATGTTAAATTCTAAAAACAGTTGAATACAATGGGTCATTTTTTTTTCATAATCTCACTCCCACAATTTTGCTAACTTCACTGACAGCATAAATATAACTGAGATTTTAGCCCATGCATTAACAGAGTCAGGGCCTGATGTAAAACCCAGTGTAATAAGTAGAATTTCCAGTCAAGAGGCATTCAGTCTGAAGCTAACAATGCTCAATAGCAATCTGCTTAAACGACTTTATTAAACCTTCTCCTTTTTTTTAGACAAAACTACTAACAAGATTTAGATATTATTTTGAACGAACAGATGCCTTTGTTCGCACTGATTTGACTTTGAATAAGTTGCTCCTGGGATATATTTTTATAGATTTCTATTTTTAAATATCCCTCCTGAATTTGCCAATACTGAAGGCCAATGCTTTCAAAGTCTTTTTGAGCACCCTAGCTAGTTATAAGAAAATCAGTAAATTCATTAACAGTTAACAAAAAGTTGATGAGCAATGGTAATAGAATAGTAATGGAATCCACCATATAAGAACGGATGAGCCAAAGGCTTAAATTTAACTTCACAAAACCTCACATTTATATTGAGTGAGGAATAACCCTCTAAATTTAGAAATACTGAATGGCACCTAATTACTGCATACCCAGAATCTGTATCCTAAAATGCTCAGTTAAATTTTCTTAAAAATACAGGATTATTATATTTGTCTCATCTAAATCCTGCTACTATTCTTCTTGCATAGTATTCAGAATATGTTGGGAAAATAATTGAAACTTAAATATTTTGACACTTCTGGAATAAAAACTACTTTTTTCCCCAACAAACACCATTGTTCTAACAACAATTTGACAATGTTCCTGCCCTTGTTACTACATACTTACTCCAAGGATAGCACTGGAAATTTGGAAAGAAAAATTCTGTGAACAACCCGTGGAGTTTCAACTTCAGTAATATCGATGAAATAAATTTCTCCCTTTTCGGTCCCTACAGCAACGCTATTTGAGGAAGGGCAGCAAGCCATAGCAGTTGCCTGGTTGAGAAGTAAAAGATATTTGATAGGATCATATTATGTTATATTAGGATATATTTTAGTATATAACTTCTTTTACTATTTAAAAGTCCCTAAAATTCAGGAAAACTAAATCTCAAGTGATGTATTTTAAGGTCTTTTTATTTTCTTTCTTCTTTTTACATAGAAAAGTTATTAGAAACCTTATAGACATTTTCTGCTATGTTCTGTGTTTACATATCAAAATTTACATTCTCCCTTCCTCAGAACAACCATTATATCTACAACCCAGATTTGAGTGAAGCACGTTCACCCTAAATAAAATGGTGAGGTTTGCTTGTGAGCAGAGCTGTAATAGAAAGGGATATTTTTTTTGTTCTATGACAGTTTTCAGGATGTGAATGCATCTTAAATCAAGACAAAGCATTAATGGTTTGAAATACCTTAATAATTCAATTCCCACAGCCTTTTTTTAGATCAATCAGTGCATTTAGTTTTTATACACTTTAAACACTTCCCTTCAGTTTTGGCACTCTTTAAAAATTGAAATAGAAATTGTATAAAGTAATATAAAATTTAGATGCATTAGATTTGTTAATACTTGTTTAAAGTACACCATCAGGACATTAGGTTGAAATATTTACTCTGCTCTGTACTCAGTTAAATTTTCTGATTAGTTCAAGGAAATATTCTCCAATATAGTATTTTAAAAATCCCTTTTATTTGCCATTCAAAGCTACTACTCAGATATCTTCAAAAAGTAGTTGATCCAGTCCTATGGAGTATAATGCTGTTAACAGAGATTAGAGATGAAAAATCTAAGTCACCGTAAAGCTCTCAGTTATGTTCTCCTCAGTATCGAGGCTTAACTTGCTGACACAAGTCCCATCTTCCAGGAGCCAAACTTGCACTTCCCCTGAAATTGCTACTGACTGTTAAACAGAGAAAAACATAATGATAAGCGTGGAAAAAATATTCTAGAGTGGCTAGTGATGATCTGTGGGAAATACATTCAAATAATAACTGAGCATAGCAGTTTAATGGGTACTATTTTTTTTTTGAAATGATTTTGCTAGAGTGTACTCTTGCCATAAGCAGCTTTTCTCCAAGGTTCACCAGTCAAGGAAAATGTTTAAGAATTTTTGTGACTTGCAGCATCTACAGGAATGATCTTTAAGCAAGATCAGACAATATAGGACAAAACATATAACTTTGATTTGTATTAATATTCCCACCATTCAAGCAGCAATAGAGAAAGCTACTTAGAATTTTCTTTGCATAGGGAAGGGATGAAGGAGAAATCTTGTTTTTCCACATGAAAAGCACTGGCATATCATAATGGTGCTTGGTTTTTTTGTACCAAGACAATTTTATAATTTCATTGTATAGTACAGCTGGTGACCAATCAACTCTCACTTTTCTCAGGTAACATTTATAGTTCCCATGCTAAGAGCTAACAAACAGATTCTGCAAACTCAGTTGCTTAAATCCCTAGGGTTCCTCTGCTGGCTTTGTGAAGAATTCATGGGTGGGGGAAAAATCAGACTTGCTGGCTCAAACAGAATGTCTTGCAGGTATCAAGGACACAGGGGAAATGTAAAGGATTTCTCAGGATGAGACAGATCCAAGAGTAAGGCATTCTTTGTCCCTTGACCAGGACAGAAGCATCTCTCCAGCTGTTGCAATTTGATCTGAAAAGATCAGTGGGAACTTCTAGTTTCTATATCTGCTTTCTAAATTGAATCTATCTCCTGCACAGCTATGATCTTGAACCATGAAGAGTCACATGGATCAACAGCAGAACCATTAGGACATTTTAAGAAACTGAGACTTATCTGCCCTGCACTGTGGGGTAAGTACTGATCTTTTCATAGTCCTGCAGTAATGCCACTCAGTTCCTTTAACAAGTGTTATACTAATGTAACAAATACAAGAACAGTCATAAACTCTGTGGGGCTTTTGGTTTTGTACCATGGTTACATGGATTACCTAAAAGAAGCCACTATTATATACAAAAAGGAATGCCATTCCTTACCACACAGTACTCGTTCCCTGGTGTAAGAAAATCAGCTGACAGAAAACAACTGCTGCCTGTATCCAGGAGTTTGTCTGCTTCTTCTTTGTGACCAGGTTTGTAAGTATAAATTGTCCCCTGACAAAAAAAAATCATCACTTGGCCATGAAACTTTTCTTTGGAAACTTTCAACCACTTCAGCCAAAAAAACCCACAGTTTGAAGAGTTTCATTCTTCAAAATTTTTATATTTGATTCTAAACTGAAGTAAAAAGTGTCCATCTGAATTCAGTGGACTAAGCTAACATATACTAGCTGAAGATCAGGTTAGTTCATTTTACAGTGATCCAGCTAATCACATTTTCAAGAAGTATTTTCACAAAATTGTTTTGATAAAACAAATAAAGAACTATTTTGTGTTACTCCAAGACAAAACAATACACAAAGTATAAATAATACACTCTAGGAGATACTTCTATCTAAAAAACTCAAACCCTTTTAGAAACAATTAATACTGGCCGAGCTCTGAGAAAATAAGGATGCACTACTCCTGTTTTACAAAAAGAAAATTAAATCAAGGAGAGGATGTGACCAAAATTACCTTAACACTGCACTTCTGAATCCAGAAATTCAGAACAGTGCCAGGAGTCCTGATTTACAATCTCTTGTTCTTTTTCTCTGCTACATTGTAATGGGTCTTACTTCTAAAAAGATTAAAGAGTTCTTAAAACACCAATTTAAATTATTAAGGTTTGAAAAAATAGGTGAAACTTGAGGATTTGGTACCCTTGCCTGAGATTTCTGGACATCCAGTCCAAAGAAGGACCTTGGACTGGATTGCCAGACAAATTCAGTCAGCATACGCAGATTGACTCTCCTGCCTGGTCACAGTAGATCTGAGATGCCCCAGCTTCTCTTTGCTTATGGTGTGGGCACAAACTAAGATGAGAGCTCATGCACATTACATCGCACGTGGCCTGGACATACTGGAGATCCTGAACATGCACTACACTGTATACATACAAGTATTTATATTTGGAAATTCCAGTATAGATAGCAACTATAGTTTATAATCCACCATCTGTAAAATAATTGTTCTGTGCTTCAGAAATGTCTAATATATGATTAAAATCATAACATCCTTAGTATAATTTGTTGACTTGTCAGAGTACCTTATAGATGTAGAATACTAATATTATCAATGCACAGCTGAATAACAGGAACGTTTCATCACATGACACTATTGTCTCAAATGCTGTACCTCTGTGGTTACAATGAGAAGTATGGTATAATCAGGAGAGAATATAAGGCTGGATATGGGTTGTAAAATATCAGTGCAGACTGTCATCTCATACTGGAGGCCTTTGATTTCATAACGGAATACAATTCCCTCCTGTGCAAAAAAGTAAAAATCCACATCAGATCTAGGCCATTTATCCCAGCCTACTCTGGCAAAACTGAACTGCAAAAACTTCTGAAAGCATCTAAGTAACAGCGTTTGACTGTATCCCGTCACTAATTTGCCTTTATTATGTCTACATCCAGAAGACTCTTACCATTAATAATAATTCTTTTTAAAATGAATTTATTCTTAAATACAGGTCTTTGTAACAGTCCATGTCTGATAACAATAGGCCCTGTCATCGGTTCTACTCCAGATTTCATATTGAGTTTATTGAGACAGTAGGAGTTTGACCCACTCTTTTTTTTTTAAGCAGTAATGTGCAATTGCAATGGTGACAACAACAGTACAACAGTAACAACAGAAACAACAGTAAAGCAACTTAATGAGGCAGTTCTCTTGGTTATTTTCTCTCCTTTTCTATTTTCTGTCCATGTATCTTCTTTTCTGTTCCTCTAGAATGTTCTTTTCCTTTTGTTAAAAATAGCCTTGTCCTCTTTTGTTGCTTCTTTGACAAAAAGAAATGGAATCTCTTCCCACTCTGCTCCCTTCCTACCTCTTGTCTCAAGTCTTACAAAGGAAAAGACAACACCAGAAAGAACCGTTCTAGTTCTGCAACCCTCTATTTTTCCAACTCCTGTCTTTGCACTGGTCTTAGCAAGCTATTCTTTTTGAATGTTCTTTTGTTTTCACACAATAGTAAACATGAAGGATGCCTTACATTTCCAGCTGTGTATAGTCCATCTTTAGAAAATGTCATGGCTAGTACCACTCGTTTTTCCAGATCCTTCAGCTTGCCATCTGAAAGCGCTAAAACAACATAAAAGATTTTTAAAAATACATGTTGTTAAATATAAAATTTAATTTACTGCAACTATGTCTCTCAACTTTAAATCTGGAAGAGTTTAGCATTTGGGAGTAAAAAGACCCCTTTGCCAATGCATTCTTTGGACCTTTTGCTGTGATAATGAAGAAGGTCAGTGTACATAATTTGAAGTGACAGTACTACTGGGGTCTGATGAACTAGGAATTGATTTGGGGAATTTGATTTGAAGTCAATAATATAATCATTGGTCATGTAGGCTGGAAGGGACCCCAGTAGGTTCGGATGTAACCTCTGCTCAGCACAGAGCCAACTTCAAAGTTAGATCCAACTTCATAGTTAGGTCACATTGCCGAGAGTCATACCTAGTTGATATTTGAAAATCCCCAAGGATAGAAATTCCACAGCTCTCTAGGCAACCTGTCCAATGTCTGACTACCCTCACTTTGAATTTTTTCTTTCCACCCAGAATTTCCTCCATTTCAACTTAGGTCCTTTGCCTCTGGTTCCAACTTCTCTGTAACCCCCCATTAGGTAGCTGAAGTAGCAGTAATATTCACCCTTACCCTTTTCTTCAGCCTGACCAAACCCACTTGTCATCGACCCTCTTTCTGTGTCCTGTACTCAACCTGTCAAATAATCTTTGTGACGCTCTGCAGAACTTCCTGCAGTTTATGAATCTTGCTTTTTTAGCATGAAGCCCCAAAACAAATTGTTTGAAACAAGCCATTCAGTTTTTAAAAAATTAATAATGATTGCAGTTCTAAGCGAAATACACTAAAACTGAGCAGTAGAAAAACCTGATCTACCATCATTTATCCCAGTTTGGATTAGAATTAACAGAAATAATTTAGCAGCCACTGTTTCTCCTGAAACCATTCATTTAGCTGTCTATTAGCACAAAAGCTATTAGCCATTTGTCATTTAAATATAAAAAAAGATGGCCATCAACCTGTCCCAAAGAGGCCAGTTTGTTCTGAGTTTCTCTAGCCAGTGGCTTTCAGCTGTACTCAGGTATGATTACTCTCCTCCATCACTTGTGCTGCCTAAAAATCTATTACCTTAAGTTGAACATGGCAATACCTTTCTTTTTCTGTACTTCTCTATAAAGGTATGACAACAGCTCCAATATGTTACGTGTTTCCTCTGCACAAAAGAAAATAATTCATAATGTCAGCTTAATGTATATGTTGATGTTGCATTAAAAGTAAATTGTATTCCAGTCTAGCTGGAATACAGCTAGGCTCCATGTACTGAGACAGGAACTTATTTTAGTATTGTTATTTCTAACCATGATTTTTAATTTGATTTACTTCAGAGAGAATGGTCAGTCAGTCTGAAAAAAAAACATGTCCAAGTGTGGCTGCTTATGAATCTGTTTAGAACATTACAGTGGGAATTTAGGATGTGCTCAAAGCTGGACATGCTTTAGCATTCTGCTAACAAGAGCCACATTTCAGTCTGTTTTAAATTAAGCAGAAGCTTCAGTACTATCTGAATGCAGACAATTCTGTTACACGTTTTTGGGGATTGGACTCAAGAGAAGAATATATGAGCCAAGTAAAAGCCCAAATGGCAAATATTCTTTTGGCTTTCTACTGAGCTGGCAAAAACATTTCTGGTCACACCTTTTTTTTTTTCTTCTTCTTCTTTTTTTAATGATGATTTCCAGCTCTCTATTGGGTAAGCTTACAACACTGAAAGTTTCATAGTAGAGAATAACACTGGATTTTCTTTTTAAAGAACAGCTTTCCAACTCTGTGATAACCATCAAAACTGAAGCTAGATACGGTACTTCAGGAAGTTCAGGGATCCTTGCTGCAGCTTTAAAAGCAATATATTACATTGAAACAAAAAATAAAACAAGTTCATCACTAGCCCCTTGGATTTGTCACTTGTAAAAGCCTACTGCCTATGAACACTGATTCAGCATTCATTGAGAGAAAAGGTTCTAGGCTGGTCTGCAGTAGCACATGACACAGCTTACTCTCGTGCTAGGGAGAAGCAAATTGCACTACCCCTCTGACCACCTGATTGACCCAGTGACTTTCCTGTGCACAGTAGGACTGACACCTTCTGTTCTCCCCAGACGATGACAGGGCACAGGTTGTCATTGGCACAGCAGTTCATGCAGCCTCTGTCTCACTATCCTCCACTTAGGAGCCCTCTGAACGGGCATGGGAGGATTGGGTGTAGCAGCTCACAAGTTTCTGGGACCCTGTGGTTCCCAGAGGAAAAGGAGATATGGCATAAGCTGCTGCTGCCAGCAAGCCTTAGTCAGGCACTAGTCTACCAAAAGTGCCAATGACAAAAGACAACTGGGAATATATGTGACACAGTCAAATTGCCCTGACAGGTTGCAATCAACCTGTGGGACTGAGCACACCCATTCTGGAATAAATTAAAGGAAGATTGTTTTGTTTTATGCCAAAAGCTGCTCCTTAATTTCAAGTAAAGCTTGAAATTTACAGGCTTATGTTCAATAAAAACTAGTCTATGTTAGAGCACACCTTAAGGAACCCATATTAAGCAACATTATATTAAATTCAATTTTGTTAATCAATATCATGTTAAACATTAGTCTTTAAAAATCTGTGCAAACTTGAGGCCAGTTCTGTATTTCATCCGAAATCAAATATATTGGCACTTAGCTAATAGCAAGAAGACTGTGTATACCTGGTAAAATAATAGCTTTATGTTAAATAATAGGTCTGTTAGTAAAATCAGGAATTAGAGTTCGTTTTGCCAAGATTTTGATGATTTAGAAGATTTTTGTTTTTGTTTGTTTTTATAAAGAAAAAAGAGTGGCAATTATAGAATGCTAAAAAAAGCCCCACAAGTTCAAGACAGTTTCTGAAATATTTACTATACAAACAAAACATCTAACACAGCTATTTCTCACCAGGTAAAGGGCCTTGTTGAAGAAAAGAAACATTCAGGGTCTCTGCATTAATTGCCAAAATTTGTCCTTCTTCACAACCCATGTAAATCTCAGAGGTTGCAGTCCAGCAATGCACAGTAGGATGCACTGAAGCTTTAATGACATCTCTAGGCTTCAATACAAAAACAAACAAGTTCAGTTAACAAGTGGCAAATTTCTGCATAATATATCTTACATATATTTTAAGGCCTAAAGAAAGATGAGCACATGTATATCATCCATCGTATTTTACTCAATCATCTCTTCACTAAGGCTTGTAACTTGAAAACCAAGACTATTTTCCAGAAAAATCTATGTCTGAAGTCATCTGAAAGCTTGTTTCAGTGATAAATTATATTATTATTAGGAATGACAAGATTTTTTTTTTTACTTGAATTTGTCTGGATTTATTCTCCAGCCTTTGCATGTTACATTTTTGTCCTTTAGCTTGGAAAGTCCTCTGGTATTCTCCATACTCTCAAAATAATGTCTTGCCCACCATAACCAAGTCATCTCTCAATCTTTATAATGGTAAAATTACACAATAAAATCAACCCAATAGGGCTGTGGAATCTTCTTACCCCAGAATTGCACTGGGAGCCCAAAGTGAAATCGCTACATGCTGTGACTCCACTCCCCGCAAAATGCATTTTTCTTTCTTCACACATGCTTTTATATCCTTGGCATTATTAAAATGAATTTTGTTTGAATAGCTTATCTTATCATATAATCCAAACTGCTCTGTAAAACAGATCTGCCAATTTCTGTTATCTGTAAATTACTTCTAAAGATACCATTGCAGCAGACTTCCCATGTGCCTTGGATTTAGTTTCTCTAGAATAAATTGCATAAATCCAGCCTCTGTAAGACATGAAGAACAGAACTTCTCTACCAAAGATGTATTCTGCATACAAACATTATTAAATATGTGAGTTATTCAAATACAACAGTCATAGGAGTTATATAAATACCATGATAGGGAAAAAAAAAAAAAAAAGAATTGATTCAATGAACGGTGTATGTGAGCAGAAATGGTGAGGAACACTAGGCTGAATGTGATGAATGAAATAATCTGAACAATCTATAATTCTATAAAACAAAAATATAGGACAGAGGTTCCTAAGTATCTATATTTTCTTTGTAAAACTTGTCAAGGACTTGCTATGATTCTTGATAAGTAACTTATTCTCCATTTATGCCTAAAGAGCATTTTGAATTCCTCAGAGGGAAGGTGTTGAGGAGATAAAGTGTATTAATACTTATTTTATAAATCAAACATGAGCAACAATAGTAAATCTGTAACAAAATGGGACTTTACATCACCCAGACAAACATTTAATATGGACATCTTCCCTCATTTTTATGAGGCTTGAATATCACAAATTTTTGGCAAGGGTGTAGCTGAGCTACTCTGAATCAGAAGCTTGCTGTGTAAAGACACCTTTTGTAACATTTCTTTCTACCTACTGTCAGGACTGTCTCCGTATGTAAACCAGATAAAAAAACACTAATCCCAAAATGAGTTTTTTGAACAGTGCATTGGTACAGTATTGCAGAATAATAAAGGGTTATTTTTTGAGGTTCTTACCCTCTAAATAATACCTCTAGAGAGAAAAGTTCCATGATGAATCTTTGTTATGAAAAAATTTATAAAAAGCCACTGGAATAAAATTGGCAATGGAGATGGAGTCAAATGTTTGATCTATCAAAGCAAATTCAGAAAACTCAGATCTCAACTGTAAGAGATACTAAATCAATCTAATACAAGAAAGAAAAGAACTGAAAGTGGCAGGATGTTTGATCGCCTTCCTCTGGGCTGCCCCATTGTGGTTACACTTCGGCATCAGCATCATGTTCTGGAGCAGGGACTACTAACAAATTTAAAAGATGCAAATTTAAGCGTATTGACACACACACTGATGGACTGATTACAGAGAGAATGACCAATTCTAGTGAAAGAAATGTTTATGTGTAACTGTGCTGAATTCCAAAATAGTATTGTGAGTGGTAACAGAAAGCTCAAGTAGGTCTTTCTTCCTTTACAGACATTTCTGTTGAGATCTTAGTATTACATCTGTAGTTTTCCACAGAGGAGTATTTGATCTTGATGAATGGAAGAACATCCAAGGAAAGACAAATTGTATTATGTGCAGTCCTACCACGACAGTTGCTTGTTTGTTTCAATACTTCTCATAACCCACTTTGCAGGCTAGAGAAGAAAGTGTGATTTTCTGCACATATCATAAGAGGCAGTAAGAGAGAAGAGAAAGGAAATGCCTCTTATGAGCATATTTTATCTCTATTTTCCATGACCTAAAGGATCTGAAATACAAGCAGTTCATTTGCCACCTGAATCAGTAGAGAGTGTTTGTAATTGTCCTGAACACCAAGGGCATCATCACTTACACAATTAAGAAACTTCTGTTTCTTAACATGTAAAAGATAATGAGATCAGGAAAACATCATTTCCCATTTTTCTATTTTTATTCTTTATTCTGCGTTATGAGAAAAGCTTACTGCAGAAACTTTTGATAAACTGGTCTGATATTACAAAACACACATTTGTCTTATGCAAAGAGGTAATGTAATGCCAACATCATCTTATGCCTGGCAGCTTTTGCATCCTATATACATAAGCCAAACCATCAAATAGAAATTGATCTTCTTAATCTTAGATGGAAATCCCAGATTTTCAAGTTAAATATTTTCACATTGGGAATTGCTGCTAGTTAATAGTCAACTAAAAGCAAATTTCAAACAATGAGAACACTTTTGAAGCATCTCAAAGGAGGCATCTCAAAGAAAAACAACATGTAAGTGATCAAATACACATATAATAAAAGGGCAGATACAACATTGCCAGTGGTGTGGGAATATATCTCAGAAGCAGTGAATAAAGCTGGAATGTCTGCAATCTTTTCGTAGCTTGAGGCACTTTTACAGTGAAGAAGAGATCAAATTCCAGAGAGGAATAAATATACCTGCAGTTTATTATCAGTTTAGCATGGGAATAAGTTTTCAAGGTTTCAGGAGGACTTCTTAGCTTGGGCACAGTTAAATGCTGACATGACCTTGCTACGTCTGGGATCCAGATTAGTACCTCTGCTGCACAGATAAATTACCATGCTTGGACCTGAGTCAGAAATCTCTGTATTGTACTGCAGTGTTCAGCAGCAGCATGCCTTGTAAGTCTCTTATCAAAATATATTCAAAAAACATTTGAAGATGACAGATCCCTTTATTGAACTGTACTTGTTAAACAGGCATTAAAATCATTAATTTTATTAACATTTATTTGCATAAAAATATAATGACTGGGGATAGTAAATGGATAAAATTAACAATTACCATGAATGTTTCTGCTTCATCTCCAACCAGTCCAGCAAGAGCTGAAATTGGCAACACAGGGCCGTAATAAGGGTTTTCACTCTGAGAACCTGGAGAAAACAAATCCTCATGAGGAGTCACAGACCCTTCCTCGTCAGGGATTTTCACGGGTCTGTGAAAAAGAAAGAGACACTTTCTGAGGAGAAAAAATATTATGAATAATAAATGCTGATACAGACCTCTTTTGAAAACATGAGAACACCAGTTTTGTTAATGGGATTTACTTCTGCAGCAGTAACAAGGGTGTTGTAGACAAACATTCCATACAGCACATATTGTTTCACTGAAAACCAAAAGTAGTTTTACTACAAAATAGAAATATTCCTAACAGAGAATTGGCAGAAACAGGCTGCCACATTCTAGCTCCATATCTTTTCGTTTTGCCTTAGATAAATGTTTCAGCCTGCTGTCTCCTTATTAAACAGCATTTATAATGCTACACACTTAATATGCATGCTGTAAGGATCCATGCCTAACATTTATTTGGAGGAGGTTTAAAGATGAACAAAATTAGTTGTAGGATTTGCCTGTTGCAGTTTGCCTCAGCATATGAGTAGTTGTTATGATGTTATAATGCAGGAGTTGAGGGCTCTGTGGGTTAAAAATAATGTTGATTTATGTCTTGGTGTTATTTTATGTGAAATAAGCAATCCTGAGTGGAGGTTCAACCCCTACTGAATAGAATGAGAAATGGGATAGAGGACTATATCAGTGTATATCAACATGTATACTTTATAATGGCAAAAAGAAAAAAAAAAGATTTTTCGGATCTTAAATTAAAGCTTTGTCTATACTTTTACTAGTATAACTGTCTCAGTGGCAATATATTGGTTACGTTGCCAGTTAAAAAGATTAAATATACTGATGGGAATTATAGGCTTGCTGCCATTGCAGCAGCATCTGTGTTATACTGCAAGATCTACATCTTAAATGATCCATACTTATTTACATGCTTTTATACTAGCCTCCAAAAACATTTTAGCATAAATAGATTCTAAATTTACTGTGCTCAGTGAATTCCATTGACAGAAACATCCTCTTTGGATCTGTAAATTGGCCACACAGAAAACTGACATTGCTTTTGCTATAATTTTTGATTATAACTCTATATTAAACCAGGCATACTATGAAGAAACTTGATCCAAACATGGTAGTCTCATAGCTACAAAAGCAATTCATGTTCCAACTCAGTGCTCAACATAACTATATGCAGGAATAGGAAAATAGCCCAGACACTATATTAATTTTTTGTTCTGCAGCTTTTGAAAAAGGCAGCTACCAAAGGTGCTGATTAGTAGTAACTTTGATGGTGAGCATAATCCAGATATGTGAGCACTAAAAAATAAAATAATAAATTCAATCCATCTGATGACTAGGTAGATTCATACGGCCTGTGATTAGACAGTTGCTGGTTATAATTGCTATTTGAACTTAACTGGATTTAAATTCTTTGTGAATAGATGTAGATCACTACAGTTACTCACTAAAATATACATCTACATATAGAATTTACGACATGAAAGGTGTTACACTCACTTCTGCTTAAGATAATGATCTTCATTATTCCTTTCAATATCCCATATAGTAAGAGAGCTCTCATTAACAAAACACAGTTGTTGCCAATTCATAGGGTTGAAACTTAAAGATGTTGCTGTCATCCCTGGCTGTGATTCGCTGCACAGGAGGATATTTTCTTGCCAGTTCCTTCAATAAGGAGAGCAAAAGCAAATCAAATCCATTAAATAAATCAAATGAAGTATTTAGTCATGTTTCTGACTGCCATTTAAGATGAAGAAAGCAATACTTTATCATTGACAAAAGAAATCTATTATCAAACAAGCTAGATTGCCTGTAGGAGGTCATTAATTAGCCACCTGTAAAGTGAATACTGTTACAAAAAGAATTAATAGCACAATAAGTTCAAAAACAGACATTTTGGAAACATCACCATCCACTTATTTGTGTAAAAAGAGCAGCAAACAGTCTCTGAAGTCATGGATATTTTTCTTCATTTTGTCACTGACTACCTATGTGTTCTCACACAAAAAATGTCTTGCTTTTGCCATCTGTAAAATAATGATAATAATGCTTGAGGGCTTGCAATTAGAGAGTGTTATATTTATTATAATTAGAAAAGAAATTGTGGTCAGCTCTTGATTATTTATGGATGAATTACTTAGGTTATACAGTAATTGCACTGTAAATGCAGACACACAAGCTATAACTGAATTAACGAACCCGATCCCAAAAGCAGTACAAAACGTGTGTGAGGCTATGCTGTGCAGCAGACACCAGCCCGGGAAGCTGCTTTCCACTGACTTTTCTTTTATCCAGAACAGCTTATTGTATGTTCTCACAGTCTAATTTACATATTTCTCCATTATCCACATTATTCCTTGCTTGCATTTGCATTTTTAGGTGCTGTCCAAGAACTGATTATCATCATCTGAAGGAAATGGTTAATGCTATTTTTTAATTTATTGGACAATATATTTGGCTGTTAATCTAAATAACATTTACAGCTTTAGTATGTGTCATTACTGCTGAGATGAAAAGGACCAAAATGCATACACTGCAGTAAATGGATTTAGTATAATCCTGCTGACCTGGCTTGTAATAAATTCACTCAGAGAAGCTGATCAAGATGCAAAACAATATGTGTATTGAAAGCATATGCAAAAACTGCCAAGTACACTCACATAGTAGCTCTCATCAATATTTAAGAAAGCTATAAGCTGAAGTTCTGACTTAAAAATATGCCAGTGCAGCTCTCTCCCTAAAGATCTGTCAGTATGTTCTCATCTCATACCTAACAAATAGTGCCAAGACTCTTTTACAGTAGTCAGTTTATTAAGATCTGAAACTATATGGTGCATGTATCTGAAAAAGAATTAGGTAGTGAGTCTGTCCTATGAACAAAAAAGAATAAAGATCTAGGGATAAAACACCTTCCACGAAAGGCAGCTTTTAGTTATCCATTAGCCTTCTATTTTTCAAGTCTGAGACAACTTTCAGAATACCTCTCTTATCTCTGTATACTAAGCAATCTGCTTAAAACACAGAAACTGTGCAACCATCGTATTACAATCACATATTAACAAAGCCAAAGATTCAGATCTCTTTCATATGTAAAAAGACACTTCTGTAAGGAATGTGCAATATAATCCAATTGAAAAATGCAGTAATTCCACATACCTCTGTTCAAGTTATTACAAATACTAAATTTGCTATCTAAGGAGATTGTATGTTGTTATGAAATTCGTTTTGACTGGAATCTAGCATGGTTCTCTCACAACAATCACTCACTTATAGTCAGAGTCATGCTGATTCCAAGAGGTTTCAATTGTTCAGTCTTGGAAATTTCCATAGCCTTAAAGCATTCAAATATTTCTAGAAGCTTCTAGAATTATCTAAGGTGGTATTTCAAGATGGTGGACTTTTGCTTAAGTGCACACAAGGAATATATTAGACCATTCATATTATTTCTGCTCTGACTGATGAGTGTGGAAGCCCCTCAGGCTGGAAAAAGCTATCTAATGTTAAAGACATCAGAAATACTCCAAAACACTAAATTTTGAAGAAGCTGGAGAATTGTTATCATACAGTAACAACTGTTTTGAATAATGGGTACTAATGCTAGAAAATAAACAGTGAATTTGGTGCAGAAAGTTTGCAGGCAATCATGAGGAAAAAAAAATTAAAAGGAGATGAAGGCAACCAGTTTATTTTTTACATAATTTATACTAACACAACACAAACACAAAATATTAATGTACTTCATATTAGATAAAACCTCTTTTCTCTTACCACACTGAAAGAACAAATTCTGGGACTGAAGAGTAACTGGCTAGATATGGACCCGTGAAACTAAATGCAAGCAAGGTGTAGTCCAACTGAGCATCACCTAAAATATAAAAATAAAGAGCATAGTCTTTAATTGCCCTAGACTTCATGGGATACTTTCACAGAGAGAAGGCTCTTCTCAATTCCTATTTATCTACTTTGTTTTCATTCTTCAAGGACATTTTTCAGTCGCCTAGTGCCTTTGCTTCACTCCAAATTGTTTTGGTTTGCTCACAAAAATGCTCCCAATGAATCATTCTTTTGAATTTTTACATTTTGTTTTAATAATACTTTGTACTTGTAAAGTGCTTTTTCTCCTGAAGTCCTTTGCAGTCATAATTTCATTCATACAGTTTTCCATGAAGTAATGAAATTATTTAAATGACAAGGAAACTGAAACATGGAGAAAGCAAGCAATTTAATTAGAGAGAGAGAGAAATGTTATGGAACAGGATATGTATTATATCCCAGACACTAAATGTCAACTGCAAGAGTTATCATTCCTCTCACATCACAGTTATCAATGCATGTCAATGCAGCTTTCAGCAGTCTGCTTGGGAGCCTGCTCTGGTAAGATTTGTTTGGTTATTCAGACTACATTTTCCTATAATTAATAAAAAACTCTCATTGCACTTGTTTTTCCTTTTAACAATTACATTTTGTATTGCCATATCCCTCTCTAATTTGACCCTAACTAAAGCAGTTCAATGCAAAATCCTTTACACTCATTTTTGAATGCCTTGTCAGTAGTTTCCCGTCACACTTTTTTCTTTTTCAAGTTTTACAAAAATACCATTGAGAAAATGAGTGATTTAAGTATTGTTTTGAAGGAGTGGCAACAAGGAGGGTTACCAAATCACTACCTTTTAATTCTGTCACTTGATTCAGTTCTGGGAAATTGTAGATGTGTATGAAGGGATTCAGCTTCCGGTCTGAAAAGGCCACCACTTCACTGTTGCCATTCACTGCAAAGGCTCCCACCTGGCCCATCTCACACTCCAGAACTGTCTTCTTCTTTGTTTCAATGTCCACAAAGATGATGTAGTTGCCACAGGGATAGCAAACTGTGCGATTGTTGACAAAGCCAATCTTGTCTGAGAATCCCTGAACCCATCTTAGGGAAGAACAACTGAGCATTAGAACATTAATCATACACACATTTCTTAAAAGCACTATGTAAAAAAGGGAATGTCATTGCCCAAGAACTACACTGATCTGATGCCTGCAATTTGTTAAATTCAGCCTCATACTAATGCTACAAAACCACAATAACTTCAACATCAGTATTATGAATCACTAGCTGGTGCCTTCACAAGCATGGGGGCTGTCTTACTTTGATGGAGCACAAATGGCTATCACAAGAGCAGGGAGAGATGTTTATATTTCTTTCAGTTTTCACTAAAATTAAAGCTAGTCTCTGTTCACAGCCTCTCTTCTTATACTGTTATATCATAGTAATAGAGTATAACTCTTTTTTTTTCTGAAATAATTAAACTAGTACAGTCTATAGTGTGGACCTGATATTTACTTAACCTTTTCTACAATTTCATAGTTCATCTCATCTCCATAAAACAAAACTACACAGATGTGGCTTGTCTTTGTGCGAACTTAGCTAAGAGGATTGTTGTGCATTGACCCAATCCTTTTCCTTAAATTCAGTGAGTGCTGAACCTACACTCTTACCTGAAGTGTGCACTACTGCTTCTCTGATCTCACGGTTAGGAACATTTTTTGGTTTGCTTTAAGGTATGCATGCCCACAAATATAATTCTGTTTTCTATTTTCTAGTTTTCTACTTTCTGCTGTGGGACTACTGCTACATGCCAGAGGCGTTAAGCGCAGCAGGCACGTGCTGACCATGTGTGCTTGCAGATTAACTGAATGCCACGGCAAAAGAAGAGAGGCTTTTCTGCTGCAGAGTGTTTTTCTAGCCCTTCTACACAGGTACAAGATACACGAGGTGCTGTGGCACATGAGCACCTCTGAGCTTTATGAATGTTCAGAGGCATTAATTACGTTTTTCTCCAGCAGTGGTTCTGAATCAGTGGAAATAGGAAATTTTTAACTTCTGTTCACAGAATCTAGAAAATATGTGTGCAGGGATAAAGTTAATAGGATGAGAGTGCAGGTAAGGGTGGATGACAGGTGAAGGTTTACGAGTACAAGGATTGAGGCTGTTATCAGCCCTGCCTGAGGCGAGTTCACAGTCACATTATTAGCCACGACTCAGCCCTGTCTCTTACATATTGTGCCCATCTACACACTGGATAAATACTACATGTCAGAATTATTTCAGCCAATACTTTGCTGGCTGTAATAGATGGAACAATTAGAGTTATGTGGAATTTCTAATGGAATATTTTGCTGTAGAAACATGCTAGTTCATTCAAAACAAAAGGTGGAGCAGGAGAGTTGAATTCTGCTCTAGCTCACAACATCCACAGATGGAAATCTGAAAATCTCAGATGCAAGTTAGGATGCTGAGAGAGCAAACAGTCAGTGGAGTTTAGGAGATGCAGAAAGGTAGAGGTTGGAGCTCTCTGAGTAAAATAGGACAGAGAGATGAGGTTCTGGGCAGGGCACACGTTCTGCACAGGCAGAAGGCAGGGTCCTAAGGAGGAGAGCCAGGCGCTGCAGTGCCGTGGCCCTCC